AGTCCAGTCACCCAAAAACCTAAAGCTCAGTATCTGGAAAAGAGCAAGCTCACTTAATTATTCTACAGTAGTTCAGATGCACCAAATGCACATGTACTGTATGGAGGAACAAATGGGCAACATGCTTCAGCAATAGGGTCTGTGCAAATATTTTATTTCGTGGGTTTGGACGTTGCTGATTTGGATCAAAATCAGATACAAATGCACATGAAAACAAACAGGCATTGTGCAAATGCGTGCCTTAAGGCATGGTACTCTACAGTACAGGAAACAAGCATCAACACTCATATTGCACTAGTGCCCAACAACAGAGTAAATAAGGTTAAAGACATATTTGATCAGTCAGCATTGGCCATTTTGGAATGCAATGCTTTACAAAAGCTATTGGTTCTTGCTTCAAATATAATTACCTAAAATAATTACACAATAAGTACACAAAAATAAACATAACAGCCTTTTCTAAAATGCTGATTGAATGCATTGTGTTACAACAGTATAAATAAGGTATACAGCCCAACAAATGTTCATATAAAAATAGACAGATTACATTCAATCCATCTGTAATAAATCAGATCATTCCCTTTCTAAAAACAAGTATCCCCACTCTAAATAAAAAAAATTAAGCTTTAATTTAAAACTAAACCATGCAACAGATAAAAAAGTCTTAAGTTATGTATTTAGCCATTAGTAATATTTAATAATTAACTGAATAACACCTGTGAAACTGAAGCAAATCCTTTTGATTAAGAAAATCAATTAACTCGTGGAGGTCTTTCCATAATTCTGTATGACGTACTTTGTGTAAATAATGTGTTAGTCTTAACATGGTCCCAAGGAGCCAACAGTTAAAACTCCAGCAGCTGTACCAAACAACATCTAATCACAGTTACACACCATATAAAGAGCAGGAGGGTAAATGGTTTAGCCTCAGTTTAGAATAGACTAATTCAGGTGTGACAATGCAAGGTTTCAATATTAGTACCTTCACCATTCCACGTGTTTTCATGTGATATGTGGAATATTGGTGAAATGCAGTGGAAGAATTAAAGAGCGGAAAGGTGGGTTGAATGCACTGAGGACCATGCATGTGTAGTAAATGGTGGCTTCCAGGTGTGGCATCATTACTTTTTTTATGTCTGCCCATTCTTGCACCAAATCAGTTTGTTCATCATTCATTTTCATCAGAATACATAATCTTATATTCAGACTTGAATGTCCTGCTGAATACCCCAAATGCCAAAAACTAGCTGCCACTCAACACTGTGAAAATAGCTTCAAAAGCTTTTTTTCTCACCTCCGCTAGGTATAGTTTATTGCTTTCTTTAAGTGGAACTGGAATGCATCAGATCTTAATTTTATGAACATGCCTTGCATTTTTATGTCCTGCTCTGCGTAATATAGGCTGCAGACTTTGACTGATGCCCTTAAGGGACAGACATACATTTTCAACAGTATCTACACTGGGCCTGAACGTTACTTGAGGTTGTGAGAGAGGGCACACCACCATCGGTATGTGAGATGGCAAACTTTCTGTGTGCCAGCAAAAATAATATCTATCGGACGATCCGTATCAGATTCCTACAAAATCGTCTCAGACAAAGCTGCATGTCTTTTTGTTGACTGTTTTTTTCTTGTCAAACAACTGTGCTTTGCCATTAATTTCTAATGCACTAGCTGATGAGCAGCCTCCTTACTCCCTCACTAACCATTAATCACACAGTGTTACTCTTACCCCTCCTTCATTATGTGTGAGTATGGGGGGAGCAGGGGGGCACTAGGGCATGTTGGACATAGTGAGGGCGGAGGCATCAGCACTACGGGGGTCCTTCACGCCAATGATGAGGTCATTGGTTCTGCGGGTGCCCTCCACCAATGACAGAACCTCTCTCCTCTCCACCTTGTGACCTTTAGCCTGTAGCAGCTCCACGTCTTCTTCTAGAAACTCAGCTGTAGGAGAGAAAGAGACAGTTGGAGAGAGAAGGATGAGCTGAGGTTAGCGGGTAGAATGGCACTAAATATGGTCAAAGGCAAAAAATGTTAAAGGCCCTATCTAGATGGACTCCGTGTTTGGTCGTCTGTTCTGGGGCTACTGCAGAACTGGCAGCCTCCCACAGAAGAGGACCCTTTCCACTGGTAGTAGCAAACGGCTTTATTCTACAAAACAAAACACAAATATTCTATTTTCAGTTGATATATACACTACCTACACTAATGAAATTCCATTCTCTGGTAACAGCGATGTCCTAAATGTTTACACACTGGACCATTACTAAGTAGCCCTGACTAAGATCTCTCTTC